TTGCAGTATCCAATTTTTTCAGAATTCGGAATCAATTACTACTTTAAATTTCATATAATTCCCTGGCATGACAGATTTGATGCGCTAATTGGTTCAAGCGATCTTCAAAATTTGTACGCAAAAATTGATTATCGAACACACACTTTAAATATTAATAATATTTCAATAAAATTCCGTTATTTTTCTCCAGAACATACTAAAATTGCAGTTAATTGTCCCGATGGCGATGTTTTCGTCCCCAACGTTTCGATTCACAATCAAGAAATTTTACCCTCTTCTATTCATTTAGTCAAAGACGGATTTATAACAATTCCATATACAGAAAATGCCCCTAAACAAATCTCCGCTTACCCTTTGAACTTCCAATAACTGACAAACCAATTAATTATTTTAAGAACCAAATTTTTATTGCTACTGGCCATTCACAACAAAACTCCCTTAAAATCAAATTTAGAGACCGTCGAGTTATAAGCATCGTATTACAAGATAATAACAACATTTCCGAACAAATCCTCTCTCAATTTAAAGAACTTATTGACCCTTCACAAACCTATTATCTGTATTTACATCAACCCAATTTGTTACGCCCCCTTATTGAGGAAACACTTGGAAATTTTTTTACAAATTCGCTTAAAATTATACTTTGTTCCACCTATTTAAAAGACATTTGCAAAGTTGAGGACCAGGAAAAACTAATCGAGCAATATCATAATAGAAATCATAACGGCATAAACGAAACGTATTCGCAATTATCCCAAATTTATTATTGGCCTAATTTAAAAATCGATATTACAAAATTTATAAATGCTTGTACCGTATGCTTAAAAAACAAATACGAACGCAGACCCCCAAAGTACCCATTTCAAGGCCCGCTATTATCACATAAACCTTTTCAAAATTTACACATTGATGTTTTCTTTTATAAAAGTAAATCATTTTTAACAATTTTAGATCAATTCAGTAAGTACGCACAATGTTATATGTTAAATGATCGAACTAGTTTTGAAATAATTCGTAAATTAAGGCATTATTGCTCTCACCACAATTATCCGGAAAAAATTACAACAGATTCAGGCACAGAATTTACGAGCCAAACGTTTAAACAATATTTAAATTTACATAAAATAGATCACCATATTACTACCGTCCGAAACTCAAACTCAAACTCCCCCATCGAACGCTTTCATAGTACCCTTATCGAAAAACTAAACATCCTCCACGAAGTTAACCCGCGAGACTCCCTAGATGATCACGTTATCACCGCTGTCACAATATATAATCAATCAATACATTCAAGTACTAATTTTGACCCTTTTACGCTATTATATGGTCCCTACGAAAAACTTATAGAACTAAATACCGACACGCCTATTTATGAAGATTTTGTCGAAAAGCGAAAGAAAGAACTTTTACCTTTTTTCGATCACGTTTATGGAAAAACTCGAGAAAAAGCAATCAATCGACTAGAAAAATGTAATAAAACCAGAAACGATGTACCTTTAGATTATTCAACCCAAATCAGTTCAGATACACCCCTTATTGTATATTATAAAAATAAAAATAGAAACAAAGCAATTGCCCCATTTTCTCCCCTCGTTGTTAAAGAGCAACAAAATAATAAACTAATTGGTAAAACACATAAAAGAATCACAGAAACCGATAAAAAGTATTTAAAAATTCGTAACAGTAACACCTTGTTCCAGGGTTCTGCTACTGGTGGCCCCTCTGTCCCACTGCCTGCACCATAAATGCCTTAAGACCAATGGATACTATAACGAAATTATTGGACAACAAAAAGAAATATTACATAATCATAAGGTTTTAACCCAATTTAACATTTCTTCTATAGAAAACAGCGTTTTTAATATTCCTGTTGCAAATACAAGTTCACATTTCCTTAATGCCCTTCACGACCTCGCCCTTCAAAATCTAAAAAGTTTACTTAATAAATTGTTACGCAATCGACCAAAACGAGGTTTAATCAATGCTCTTGGTTCAACCGTTAAATTTATCACTGGCAATTTAGATCAATCGGATCTTGATTTAATCAACAGAAAATTTGAAAATTTGACAGATGCTCACAATGCCCTTAATCATAAAGTAAATAAACTAATAATTTTTTGTAAAGAAACAAACGACCGCTATATTAAAATAATAACAACATTTAATAAAATTTATAAAGACATTTCCCATGAATATCGACATGATTTTGACGAACTTTCAAGAACCCAACTTTTAATACAAAATTATAATAATTTACAAAATTTTGTCGAAATGCTTTTCAGAACAATTTCATTCTCACGGTTAGGATATTCTAATGTAGAAATGTTTGAAATTAGCGAAATCAATTATATAGAATCATCTTTATTATCAATTTATTCGAAAGACCAATTACCTATCTCTGAGATTCATCCTTATGAATTAATAGAACGATCAAAAACAGTTGTTATTATTTCTGATCAATTAATTTCAATAATTTTAAAAGTTCCGATCTTATCCAAAGAAACATTTTCATTATACAAAATCCTATCCTTTCCTTCTACTGACGACGTTATGATTATTCCACCTTCAAATTATTATTTTAATGGAAAATGGTTTAAAAATTGTCATGAAGGAACAAACGGTTTTATTTGCACCGGGGAAATATTTTCGAAATGTTCCCTTATAAAACCAGAAAATTGTCTAGCTGCATCCGTCCATCACCCGATCAGATATCAACTTCAGTCAAACGAAATGTTGGTTTACAAATCAACTTCCATCCAAGAAATATGTACAGGACACACCATTGTTCCCGAATGCAGATCCATAGTCGTGTCAAGCCCCTGTGACGTAACCATCGATGAAGAAAGATACTCCATCAACAGCACTAAAGTATCGCTTAGGATACCACTTATTCGACCCATCACCCTAATTGCCACCCGAACAGCCGAACTAAACGAAATTCATATCCCTCCAGAACTGGATTTGAAGCCATTAGAGGACATCCACTTGCAAAAGGAAATCCATTACACATTTTGGGTTATAACAATAATAATTGCAATACTAACTATAATTGTTGGAGTAGTATTAATCTGGAAAAAGAAACGCCTTAGTCATCTTCTGTTTCTCCAGAGACCTACCCTCAAGGATTTGGAATCCGCTCTTCGAGCTAAGGAGGGAGGAGTTACGTCTGCTGACTAGGCAACCAAGCTTACCTCGCGCGGAACTACACTTTATACCGGCACTTCTCTTTTAATTGTTGTTGTGAATACATTGTTAAAAATAAATTAATTAAAAAGTTCAACTGTTTTAATTTAACAAATTAAGAATTCAAAACTCGTATCCATGGCAATTAATAAAAATAACGTCAGTTTTTATTTTAATGTGACAGTTATTTAAAATGTCACTTTTTTCATAATTATTAATTTTTTTTAGTTTACATTGTTACATTGTTAAATGAAGTTTTATGTTGAAATTAAAATATTTGAAAATGTTTTCTTTGTTTATTCGTATAATTATCTAAACAAATTACACTTGTGCATAAAAATAATCAGATAATTTTGCATTCAAGCATATTACCCTTTAAAAAATGCATTCGGTCATTTTCATATTTTGAGGAAAGAGCCCTCCACCTTCGGTGTCGGGCTCTTTCCAAAATATGAAAATGAACTTATGCATTTTTTAGGCAATTTGCTTTCAAGCAAAATTATCGATAGTTTTTAAGAACTTGAGTAATTACCCCCGATAATTTTTTTTAATTATTTTTATTAATAATAAAACGACTAAACATGTCGGTGTATTACTCAAATAACGGAATACTTAAGCCATTAACCATTGAAGATATTATAAAATTAGCACAATGTTTTATAACATCTTTAACACCTTTCGATGATTTGTATGCATTAGAAGAGGAGTGAGGTTTTGATGTTTCAAATTATTATTATTTATTAGAAAATCAGTTAGAACAAAATCAACAGAAACAGGAACAGGAATTTACAGATAATGATGATGATGATGAAGAATATATTATTGAAAGTCAAATGTATTTAATAAAATATTTTTAAATAAAACATAATTTTTCTAAGTGTGTGTTTTATTAACTTACCTATCCCAACAAACAGATAATGCAGTCATAAATATGCTATTCGGTTATCTCTTACAAAAATATAATATTACTTACTTACTTTTACAATAAAAATTCCATCTTTATTTGTTTGTTTAAACTGATAAATTTATGTCATTTATAAATAAATCAAAAAAATGTTGGTATAAATAATTTTTATTTTAAAACATTATTAAGAAATTAACCCTTAAAATATAACTTTAACAAAAACTTAACTTAAACCAAAACTTAAAAACTATAAAAATTTAAAAAACAACTTAAAATATCTTAAACTATCTTACAAATCTATCTAAAAAATAATACAAATATTTTAAACCAAACAATAGAAGATTGAAAATGTAAAAATAATTTATGTAATGAACAAAAAAGTTAATAATCGCAATTTTTTTTGTTCATTATATAAATTATTTAATTTTACATTTTCCCATTGTAAATCGTCTATTGTTTGTTTAAATTTTTAATTATGTCTAATTTATTTTCTAAATCTAATTTTATTATATCTATTTTTACATTTTCCTCCTCTAGTTTTGTCACTTTAAAATTGCACTTCTTCACTAAATCCTTTACATTTAACATTTGTTCCTTCAAAATGTCCATGCTCAATTTACATTTTTGCTCTTTTTACCTAAATTCGTTTCCAATTCATCTATTTCCTTGCGCATTTCTTGATTTTCAAAACTTAGCCGATGTTTTTTTTTAGGACTCTTTCTATGTGAAGCAAATTCACGTTGTCAAGACCTACTAATAATGGCTGCTCGGCCGTAATTAAATAATAATAATAATTTTGCTGTGATCCTGGTGATAACATAAGTATATATTTAAGTTAAGTCATTGCAATGTTGTAATTTCTATCGTATGTTTTTGTTAAATTACAGCATGCTTAAAATTTTGCGAATATGTTTGTGCGCTTATTTCTTTTTACTAATAATAATAATTATTTGTTATACAGATGTCAAAAAAGACTGTATTTAATACGGACTGGATTAATCCTCAAATGAATCCAAAATGGGCAAATGTGTTTGCCAAAGTTGAAGGGGATGTGTTTTCTGTGTTATGTAAAATTTGCAGTAAGAGAGTTGCTCTCAGCAACATGTGCAAACAAGCTCTTACTAGTCATGAAAAATGTACTTCACACACAAAGAGATTGAAGACTGTGTCTACCACAACAAATTTGTTAACCTGTTTAAAGAATAAAAATGATGCAATTTCTACCCCTACTATGAAATTGCCTAGTCAACTGCAGGAAATCCCTCACAATTTAAGAAATGACAATTTAATTGTTAGCAGAAATATTATGGGCACTACACACAGTTGAATCTCATACCTCAAATAATTCAGTAAATGAAGCATTGCCAGTTCTAAAAAAAATGTTTAGTGATAGTCCAACAACTCAAAAATTAAACTAAGTTCATCAAAGTTGGGATACTACATAACGTTTGGTCTAAGCCCCTACTTCAGTGAAAAACTGGAAAATGATTTGTTTAAATGTGAACTTTTCGTTGCTTGTTTTGACGAATCTTTGAACAAAGTCTCTCAGAGAGGCCAGATGGATATTGTGATAAGATTTTGGGACAGCGTAAAGAATTCTGTTGAAACAAGGTATAAAACTGTTTATTATTTCAAAACGGAATAAATTAAAGGCGCATTTGTGCTCACTAATAATAAATAATAAAAATAAGTAATAAGAAATGCGCCAATCAAAACGCATGAAATTTTAAATGCATTCGGTTAGCTTGGTGCATTTCTTATTACTTATTTTTATTAATTATTATTAATCATAAATACGCATTAAATGTTCGGTATTTTATTTAAATGTTAAGTGAATATGTTCAGTAAAAAAATGTTCAGTTAAAATAATAAATGATCAGTAAAATAATAAATGTTAAAATAATAATCGCAAAATAAGAATAATAAATGTTCCGTAAAATTAATAAATGTTGAGTAACAATAATAATAATAATAATAATCTCTTTATTCCTGCGACAAAATACATTGTATGGAATACGTCAGTACTGGGTACATAATTAAATAAATTTACAAGACATATGGTAGATTACGATACAATACCTATTACACAAATATCAAAACAAAAAACAAAATTATCACATTAATTAGAAATATCACAGCAGTGCCAGGTCACACAAATATTCATTGGTTGAATAATATTCCTTTTCTAAAAGTATACTTTTAATTTTAATTTTAAACTTTTTTGCATTAAGATTTTTTATATTATCCGGTAAATGATTAAAATATTTTATTGCTATATATTTAGGACATTTCTCATAGTTTGAAGTTTTGTGAGGTGGTATTTCGAGCAAATTGGCATTCCTAGTATTATATTGGTGGTGGCTATTGACTTTACTGAAGTTTAAAATGTTATCTTTAGCATAAAGTAATGTAATGTATATAAATAGGCTAGGCAGTGTCATAATGTTTAATTTTTTAAAGAAACTCCTGCAACTAACACTATTGCTCAGAAACAACATGGTTCTTAAAACTCTCTTTTGCAATTTAAAAACCCTATTAATATTTACAGAGGTACCCCAGGCTATTATTCCGTATCTGATTAGAGAATGAACATGCGCATAGTAATACATTTTTAGAATCTCTAAATTAGTGATGCTTCGAAGTCTTCTTATTGCATAACATGATTGTGCGATTTTGTTGCACAGGCTGTTAATATGAGATGTAAATTTTAGATTGGAGTCGATCTCAACTCCTAAAAACTTTGTATTATTTACTCTTATCAATGATTTATTATTAGTTTTAATCAAATGGCTAGACTCATTCTCATTATTTTGCAAACTAAACTGCATAAAAACTGTTTTTGATATATTCATAAATAATTGATTTTCATTAAAATATCTATTCAACTCTAGAAATCTTTGATTTGCTACAATTGATAGAGTAGTAAAGTTTGGACTAGTTGTTAATAACGAAGTATCGTCAGCAAATACAACAGTTTTTGGAATATTTAGGTCAGTTACAAATACAATACAATATATAATAGATGTTAAGTTAAAACAATAAATGCCCTGTAAGAATAATAAATGTTCGGTAAAATTGATAAAAGTTAAGTAAATTTAATATTCGTTCAGTAAAATGAGTTTAGGTTTTTTGTCAATAAGAAATTTACCGATATAATAATGATTATTAAATAATCAGGTGGTTTGGCTTTAATAGGGTGGTTAGGCTGTTTGCTGTTTTTTTATTTATTCGCGCAAAACATATATTTTTTGCCAATAAGATCTTCATTGATGGAATAATCATCTTCAATAGGGTGGTTAGGCTGCATGGTTGGATGCTTGGGTTGGTTTGATTTTTAATTTTCGTTCAAATTTATGTACGCAAAACTCATAAAAAATAAAAAAAACGGGTTCGAGTCGAGGCAGTACTTAAAGGATTGGAATAGGTACAATACTCATTTTATATTTTTTACCGAGCACTTAATACTTTTTAACCAAATTTTTATTATTAAAACTGAACATTTATTATTTTTATTTGCAGAATTTGACTTTTTTTACCGAACACTTACCTTACAAATAATAATTAAAATACTGAACATGAATGGCTAGTAGCCATTTGTATTTTTTAATTGCAAAATTTTTAATTTTACTTAACATTTTTATTTATTTACTTTGCAAAGTTATATTTTTTTACTGAACAAAACTAAATTACTATTAACATGTTATTACTATCAATTTCAAAATAGAGTGTTAATATTGATGTTTCATTTATTTCTAGATCAGTTTTTATGACTGGTGCAACATCACAGGATATTTTAAAACATTTTAAAGAAGGGATTAAGCCCCTGCACTTAAACAAATTGTTACAAATATCCATAGATGGTCCTAATGTCAACTGGAAATTTGTCAAGCTACTATGTGAAGAAGAAGAAATAACTCTCTTAGAAATAGGCTCTTGTGGATTACATGTTGTACATGGGGCCTTTCAGACTGGGCATAACAGTGTAAAATGGATGGTTATTGATGCTCTTAGTTCATTTTATTTCCTTTTTAAAGACTCACTAGCACGAAGGGCTGCTTTTACAAAATTAACAAATCAGACTGTCTTTCCATTAAAATATTGTAGGGTCAGATGGGTTGAAAGTGTTACAGTTATTTGACCAAATAAAGTTGTATGTGTGTGATAAAAACACAAAGGGCCATATGAATAAAAATAAAGTAAATGCTTATAAGCATAAGGCAGAAGAAAAAGCAAATGCTTAGAGCAAAAGGTAGGAGTAAAAGCAATTGCTTCATTTAATATGAATAATGATTACCTTATAGCAAATGCTTCATAAAAACGAGTAAAAGTTCATGACTTAAATATTTATATTTTTATACAATAGAGTGTTTACATTCAAAATGTTATTGTACCAGGAAATGTTTAGCAGGTATTGTATTTTTTCGCGAGTTTTTTGCGTGTTTGCAGTCTAAGCGCTTGCAGCGTTTATTCAGTTTTTAAAATGTCGTCATGCGAAGATGATGTTGCACTTGAAAGTGCTAATAAAGTGCAGGTGCTAGAGTTCATAGCAAATCAAATCAGCAAACATCCAGAGATCCTTAGTAAGTCACAGACGCCTGCATTGAAAAAAAAGAAAGAAGACGCGATAAAACAAATTCTACAATTATATGAAAATGTAATGGGGCAACTAATCACCTCGGGACAATTAATGAAAAAAATTAACAACATGAAGGCCCGTTTAAAAAAGAAAACGGATGTAAAGAAAACGGGTAATAAAGATGACTTTAAAAATTATTTAAGGATGGACGCAAACATGTTTGATGAGCTTCTAAATTTAATAAAACCCTATATCAATAAACAAGATATTGCAATGAGACGAAGTATACCTGCCGTTGAACGCTTAATTGCCACCATTCGTTTTCTTGCTACTGAACGTAGTTATGAAGATCTTAAATTTACTAAAGGAATATCTGCTCAAGCTTTAGGACGCATCATACCCGAAACGTGCAAGGCTCTGTATGAAGTATTACATAAGGATTACTTAAAGGAAAGTTTAATATAGGTATAGGTATTATTTAGGTTCATATTTACATTCTAAAAAAAGTTGAAAAATTTGTCAATAACTGTCCTGCGTTGTGTGGTTCCCGCTGTACTTCCACACCTCCAAGTGATGGTGTAGATCAAGGTGTTGCTGGTAATGACGAACTAGCTGAAGAAAGAGTATTCTCAACTTGCAGCTGATGGTCAAAACTACCATAAGATGTTTCCGGTGATGAATAACTATATGGAGAAAAAGTATTCCTCCATCGATGGTAAATAACCACTGATTATATTGTAGCAGTATTAGCTGCGCAGTTGGTCTCACATTGAATTTTTTTTATTGGTATTTTATATTAAAAAGTGGATACGTACCTATTATAAGTAACGATATTTTATTTTAACACTGTAAACCTTGTGAGCACACAGGTACATTTTGAAACTATAAGTAAGAACTTTACTTTTTACACTTTACTGCAAAATATTTTATTTGACTAATAAACAAGTGTTAACTGTTTTTATTGTTGCATTTCACTTGGTGATCGCCCTGCTAAGATATTTATTAAATCGAGTGGTGCCCACTTTTATATCTTATGTACTCACGCCCACGCAACCCCTGAGCTGGGCAATATTTTAGCAGAGCCGCAACGTAAGTTGTAGTTTGGTGGAGCACCACTTTTAGTTTTTATTATTAGTAATGGTAGCTTAATACATAATACTACATTTTCTAAATTTAATTTAATTTGACGTTGCAAGAGCCTCTGAACCAGCTGATAGAAGGATTGCAAACATGTGGCATCTATGAACAAATGAAGGCATACCCACATTTATTTAAAAATGTATTTTGTGACAAGATAATAGTAACATCAGAAGTTCTTGAAAAAATATTTGATATTGAATACAGTAAAGCAGGTTCCAGCAGACGAAAAATCGAAAATAGGGCCATCTCTTATTTTAGAGACTACATATTGGATTGCGATGGTAAGACATATAATTATTTTTTGCTTTTATTCAACTAACAGAATACACTCTCTTCAGAAAACTCGGCAGATGTAAATAAAAGTGATGAAAATTCGGAAATCACTGCTGTAACAGTGTCAGACATTTTAGTGATTGCAACTCTGTACCACCTCTAGGGTGAAACCCAGGATAACATTTTTGCATGAGGAGAATACAAGTAAATTTCCAATTGCAAATACATGTGCCCTAGAGCTGAAGCTACCAACACTTCATATGCACTACAATGATTTTAAGCTCAACATGAACTTCGGAATTGGTAATGCTAAATTCTTTGGATTTGCCTAGAGCATTTTTTGGATATGTGCCAGCGATTATGGTTTTTACTATTATGTGATTTTTACTTTTATAGGAAAACAAAACTATTTTTGATAAGAGGTTTAGTTTATTTTGTGGAAATTTTATGGTTTTGTTAATTTTGTTTATTTCATTTTATTATTTTATATTTATTTGTTTTTAAATAAAAATGCTTTTTTACTTGTATAAAGTTATCTTTATTCGGAGTCAACCTTTATTTTCTATATACGTACATTAAACTTACATTATTCTTATAACAGCATTAAAATTTCATTCCTCAAAGCAATGTATAAGTTAACGGCGTCAAACACATCGGTAGATTTACATAAACCCATCTTTGTTACGATAATTTCACACAAATTGAATACATCTTAATCAGAACACGGGCAATCCAAAAATGTCAATTCCTCTTCACAGTTTTCAACATATCGAAGTTGTACCTTTGTTTCATAATTAAAGCAGCCACAAAATAGATTTATCCAAAATTGACTGTTAAGTTTTCTTAGAATTGACCACCATGCTTTAATACGTTGATTGCTGTGTCTGCTTCCATACAAAAAAGGAGGTAATCCACCATCGGCATCACGCCAACCATTTTCAGCTGTTTCGTGCCAATAAATCATATTCTCGGTGCCCATATCAGTTCTTACAGCTCGAGGGACAGCAGTGATACTTTTCACGGTTTTAATATAAATTTTCCTCTAGAAGCTATTGATGCAGCCGCTGATGCAAAATCCGTAAGGCTTTAGCTTATCATAGCCATCGACATGCCACAAATAGTTTGGCCCTTTGTTAAAATACTGTCTTTTATGTAATTTTCAATAATATTTAACAAATGTAAACAGTTTCTTGTTTAGCAATTAGCCCAGACATTTGTGATAAATCCATTTATAACCATGTATACGATCTGATGTTAGTATTTGGCGTTTTAGAAAATCGATTACACTTTCAAGTGATGAATAGTTTTTTCTTCGGTAGAGATTCAAACGCTTTAGATGTCTTTTTAAAGTTGCACTGCTCACATTAATATTATGTAGTAGAAGGAACAACATAATCTCAGACAGTTGTAAGCCCATATAGTAATAGTACTTAATTGCTATGTCAAGTAATGGCTCCTCCATGTTTAACAGTTTTTTATGCAAACTGATAATCTCACAAGTAATTACACTTTAATTATATACACAGACCTTACATAACCTATAAAAGCGCCACAATTGCTACTCTCTATGTCACTGCACCTGTTCTAATCAAACTGAGGAACTAAACTGCGCAAGTTCAATGCTGGGCTAAGTCGACCGGTCGAGATAATAAGTCGACATAATAAGTCGACCGGTCGAGTTAAAAAAAATATCATCATGATCCTTCAGCGCTTCCGTACTTTAGCGATAAACACAACAGTTATAATAAAGATGTAGCCCAACAGAATTTAGTTAAGTTGGCTTTGGTCGTTTGCCTACACCAGTCAAATACAAATGTAATAAATGTATGCGAGAAACCGATATAGAGAACGTTATATGTTTACACTGTAGGGGAACCCGGGGCACAACGGGGGCGAAATGAAGTTTGTCGTTTTTCGATGTCAAGAAGGTGTTGCCAGCAAGCGGCAATAAGTGAAACTAGATCAACTTGTTACTGGTCAACTACGGCAGCCATGTTTAGCTACTTGTCTTTAGCGTTAATGCGTGAAGATTTCGTTTTGTGATTTTTTGCTCGTGTTTTACAACTTCTGATGATTTTGTAACCAAGGTAAGGTATACATGTTTGTTTACTTTACAACTTTAGTTAGTATATGATTTAAGTACGTTTAATTGCCTTTAGTTTGGTGTTGTTAAACTATTGTTTACGTGCCTTTCTTGAATAACCTTACTTCACAAATCTAAATCGTGTCGCTGGGGCCTAACGGGGTATAAAAACTTTCCGGTTTTTCTTATATTAGATGGCCACTTAACACAAACCAAAAACCTTGAAGTTACAGACTACGCTGGGGCGAGTGGCGCTTTGTTACTGTGTCTACCGCCACATTGCTTTTACCGACTTCAGCCACTTGATGTTTCTTTTATGAAGCCTTTAAGTCTTTATTACAGCGATGAGCTTTAAAAATGGCTACGAGGCAGGTCGTAACTCTGTTTCAAATTTTTGGATCAGCTTTCATCCAAAGCGCAACAATGAGAACTGCTAATAATGGATTCCAAGCTACAGGAATATGGCCAACTGACCCATCCATATTTACCGACATTGATTTTCTCTCAGCAGATAAAACTGATATTGGACTTGGCAGACCTGCAAGTAAAGAGGTCGTCCCTGGAGCTGAACAGCTGGAAAAACGGCAATAAAGTTTGATTTGATAAGGATAGTGCCACTCCTGGGTGCTTCATTTTGTTTTACCAAAATTTCTAATGCCAATTCCTAAAGCGTGAAAAGGACCAATCGGAAAAGGGGAAAGACTACTGCATCAGCTAAAATTGTGGATTGATATGGCGACATAGGTTACAGCTTATAATTTTTATTTAAATAATTTAAACAAAATAATTTTGTAATACAAGCAAATTAATAAGTAGAATTATTTTTTTTTAATATAAATTAAATTAATGAATATTTTTTAATAAATTCGTATTTTGGGTACCTAGGCGTTAATGGAGACTAGTTTAGCTAAAATATACGAGGACTTAAAAATGTTAAAACCTACCGACAAGGCTTAATACAGGAGATATTTTAGGTTAAAAAGTCGCGAAAGCCAAATAATTATATAAAGAATTTTCAATAATTATTACCCAAATAAACAGTTTAACAAAAGTAGAAGGAGTTTCTACAAAAGACACGTTGCTCATAAAAAATTAAAATAAATAAATAAATTAAATATTAAAGGTATTGGGGGTAACATAACTTCAAAAGGATACTTACATTTAAATTTAACCTTTAATAAACAAATCTTTAAACAAAACTTTTATGTTTTTGATAAATTGTCTTGTTTAACATATACATTGTTAGCATAATAAATATCGAGAAAAATATTTTAAGCTTAAATAATTTAAAGATATAAACAAATATACCCTTATAATACCAGAGACAGTTTTAACCAATTACAGACCAAAAATTATTATATAAATAACTATAATTTTTGATTATTTAAAGATACAAGTTTATGTGTTTATAGGGTTAATCATTTGTTTAATATTATTTATTTAAAATGCCTTAATAAGGAAAAACAAAGAGCGGTAGAAAACATGTGTGCTAAATTAGCGGATATTTTTCATCTTAAAGGTGATAAGTTAACCACTAGAAATATATATATATATATATATATATATATATAATTAAGCTAAAAGACAATGCTGGTCCGGTTTATGTTAAACTCTAAAGGTTACCGCAAGCAAGCTGAAATTGAAAATCAAATTAGTGACATGCTTAAAAATAGCATAATTGAAGAAACTCAAAGCGAGTGGTCTTCACCTTTGCTTATAGGCCATGAATCCTCCCATATTACAATATCCAAATTTTTCAAAGGACAATTCATTCATATTAAAAACTGACACATCAGGATTTGCGTTTGGTGCCGTTTTGTGTAATCAAGATAATAAGCCAGTAGCTTATGCAAGCAGATCATTAAATAAGGCTGAAAAGAATGATTGTACTATTGAAAAAGAGCTTTTGGGTATTGTATGGTCAGTAAAATATTTCCGACCATACCTGTATGGACATAAATTTAAGATTCAGACAGACCATCGACCACTTGTATATCTATTTGGAATGACTAATTCATCTAGTCGAGTAACTAAGTTCAGACTTAAATTGGAAGAATATTACTTTAATATTAAATATATTAAAGGTAAAACTAATGTGACAGCCGACGCGCTTTCTTGAGCTCAATCAAAATTAATAAAAGAAAACAAACCCCCATCAATTACAAATTCAGACAACGTGACTAGGACTTGATCACCCCGGACTCGTTGAGGTACTTAAAAGACCCAAAACTGCGACTGAATTAAAAATAATCAAGCTTGATAAATTTAAGAAATGGTTAGTAATAATATTATTTATGATGAGATAACAAATACTATTTTAATGGCAGAACCTTGCTCAGCGTCCAAAATACTGTTGTCGCTGATAGACTGCAGGGCTCCCAGCAGGTAGTTTTTTTAAAGACTTGTCTATATTTTTGTCTTAAGTCAATAAAAGTCTATTTTTTTACCTAAAGTCTATAAAGTCTATATTTTCTGTTAAAATCAACTATTAAAAAATATTTTTTTAAATATAAATATTCACAGTTTTCGAAACCACAGTAAACCAAGTGAAACATTCGAAAACTTCGCAGTTTACATTTAAAGTTCCCGCCGTCCAGACCCGAACCGCCCGGGCGCGCCCGAGAAAAATTATTGCTGAATTGTTTCTGGTTTGGTCTAGGGTTTCGTTTACGTTTATAGTTTAGCATTTTTCATGAAATTAGTAAGTACCTAGTATCTATCAAAGAACATGTAACAAAGAATGTGTTCCTATTCTGTTTTATCATCCATTCCATAACCCTAAAAAAATATGTTCAGACGATAGCAAAGGTAAGTGTATAACTATAGTTTTGATTATTAAAAATTATACATTTATATTATTTAATAAAAACAAAGTTTAAATTTACTTGTACTGACATCAAAAAATTAAATTGAACGATTAAGGAAGGGTGCAGAAAATAAAAAAAATTACCAAAATATGTATGGCTCAACTAATGTTTGAAGGAGTGAACCATCCCAAAATTTATTATATGAGGAGCAAAGTTTGCATCTATCAACACAATGTCACAAGACAACAACATATCTATACTAAGTCAATATCCAACCCCTAGTCGTGGAAACACAACTCTGGATGAAGATCTAGTTTTAGATCCAACCCTAGACGCTATTTTCGCATCGAATTTAGTAGTCTCAGAAATTAGATTGGGTGATTCCGTCACTCATACTAATCCAAAAGCATTTGTCGAACGATTAAGGAAGGGTGCAGAAAATAAAAAAAATTACCAAAATATGTATGGCTCAACTAATGTTTGAAGGAGTGAACCATCCCAAAATTTATTATATGAGAAGCAAAGTTTGCATCTATCAACACAATGTTACAAGACAACATATCTATACTAAGTCAATATCCAACCCCTAGTCGTGGAAACACAACTCTGGATGAAGATCTAGTTTTAGATCCAACCCTAGACGCTATTTTCGCATCGAATTTAGTAGTCTCAGAAATTAGATTGGGTGATTCCGTCACTCATACTAATCCAAAAGCATTTGTCGAGCGATTGACAACTGACTTCACTAAGGTAAAAGAAAACTTTAGTCAAAAGAATGTCCAACGCGATTTCTACGAGGCCATGGCCACTGAGAAAACGAAAAATATATCTCTCACATTCAAGTATGACCCTCAGAAGAGAACATCTATCATGGGTCAGATTGAATCATACCTCATCAAAGGTACCAAAGTTTTGAAGCTAGGTTCATCCAGTTTTAAACTTCCAGCGATTAAGAACGATTACTGCGATGTGATCCTTAATCCGCTCAACGTGTATACTGATCAGTTATTTGAAAATATCCAAGCGACCGTACAACCTGGTCAGCCCGTCATCGATATTCGTCGAACCAAAGACAAACTGTTCAAGTACACCAAACCCCGGGCGACGGCTTTGACAACATCCCCAAAACGAGGCCTCGTCTATCAGCATCTAGCAGTCATTGTACTGTTGGAGCACATTCTCCACACCAGAGATTCTGAATACGTAAGTTTTCTGACTACCCATGGGACACTGGAGGATCTACTAACAGGTGGAATGTTTATTTCATCTCTCCCTAGTAGCCAAAACTTCGAGACACGAGCTAACTCTATGGTTAGCGATGACTGCTTTGGAGTTCCCCTTAACGTGTGCTACAACCTGAATCTCCAACAGATGAGATTTCTAGCACAGTTCATTTTCTCTAAGGACCCAGTTCAAAGAGTGAACGTAAAATTTCACTCTTAGCTACAGTTCAATCAGACATCCGAACTGATGTAGCTATCCAGCCTGGAAAAGTGCTTCTCCAATCATTCCGTGAGCACTACTTGTCCCGACAGGAAATAGTCGATTTCATGTTTAGCTTCCGCGCTAATCCCCGTGATACGGCTCAGCGGTGCCTGGCTTGCCAAGCCATCACTGCTCCCCACCCCGGGTCATTCTCTCATTTATAACTTAAGTAGCAAGATGGCGGACGTCCTCTGTTCGTCGAGTTTTTCGCGAAATTCTAAACGTATAAATTGTGATTTTTGTGATAAAGTCTTTCATTTGAATTGTGCAAAAGTTAAAGAAGAGTTTTTTAAACTTTTGAAAGAAAATGAAGGTGCGAAGTGGTTTTGTGGCGAATGTTTACCAGTTGTACAGACCGAAGTAAAAGCGTTATTTAGTGAAGGAGATACAAATAAAAAGTTATTGGAAAATACAAGTAAGTTACTAGATCTAATTGAAGCTAACAATAGCTTAAGTCATATTTCCAACAGAAGTAAAAAATGGAGTGAAATTGTAAAAAGAAATGATAAGGTTGCTCCTTTAATAATTAAGCCGAAAGAAGTCAATCAGGATAGTACAGTAACAAAAACTGAAATTGCAAAAACATTAAACCCAGCTGATTTATCGGTAGCAGTGTCAAGTATACGTCATGCTTCCCAAGGTAGTGTTATCATCGAATGCAGGGACAAAAAATCGCTCGAAAGTTTACAAAACAGCGCAGTCAATGAACTTGGCGATAAATATGAAATAAAAACGGGACACATGTCGAATCCGAAAATTGTTATATTGGGCGTTCAAAATGATGATATTCTAGATGAAAATAAATTTGTAAAATATTTTAATACGCAAAATAATCCGGATCACTTATTTTTAGAAGCAAGGTATATTAAAAAGTTTAAACCAAAAAATAAAAATGTATACAATGTAATTTTAGAAGTACCAAGTAAATTGTTTAATTTTTTAAATAATGGCAGAGTATGTGTACTGTGGAATTGCTATAGATTTTATGAATTTGTTAGCGTTTTACGCTGTTTTAAATGTTGAAAGTACGGCCATTGAGCTGATAAATGCAGTAGTCAACAAATGTGCCCTTTTTGTAATAAAACACATGAACAAGGTAATGAGGAATGTAAACCTAAGAAGTATGAATGTGCAAGTTGTAAATACGCCCATGATACTCTTGAATTAAAAGAAATAAAATATGATCATCATGTGTTTGATAAAAACTGTACTTCCTATTTAAGGCAGGTTGAAAATAGTAGAAAAAGAACAATGTATGATGTCTAGCAACCAAATATGAACCTCGGTGGTCTATGCCTATCAATAAATATTCAGGGACTTGCTACAAATAAATTTGAACTACTACAGTTAATAGACACCGTAAATCCGTTGCTAGTATTAGTAAATGAAACCCATATCAACGAAAATATCGAAAAAAAAGAAATTGATATTGCAGGTTATAACTATTTAATATGCCTTTCTCTGGCGGATGCATAATTTACTTAAAAATTGAAGTAAAGTATGAAGATGTAAGAACTTATAAAGTTACAGATAGCATTGAATACTGGGTGGTAAGTTCAAAAGTTTGCATAAACCAACATACATTTAAAATAGCGTCAGTTTATAGGTCTCCTAACAGAAATACAAATAAATTTTTAGACTTTTTTGAATTGCTGTTGAATAAAGATGATTTTTTGAAACATAATTCAATATTAATGGGTGATTTTAATTTAAAATGGGATGAAAACAATGAAAGTATTAAAAAATATAAACAAATTATACAGGCGGCTGGTTTTAAACAATTAGTGACGGAGCATACGCGAATAACTAGAAATACTTCCTCATGTATCGACCATATAATAACAAACATGCACGATTTAGAAGAAACTCCACGTATATATCCAAAAATATCTGATCACGAAGTAATTGGAACTATGTTACCTATTAAAAAAAATGCTGAAGTGAAAAAAAAAACTTGTTAGGAATCTTTTAAAAAGTAATATAGATATATTAGTAAGCGAACTTCAAACTCAAGAATGGGATTATACTTCACAAAACGTAGACATACTGTATACAAACATAATTTAAAAAATAATTCAATCTTTAAATAAAATATCTCCTAAAAAAGAAATTATAGAAAAAAAATAAGAAAATGTGGATTAACCAAGAAGTTAGGAAACTTCAAAAGCAGAGAGATAGGGCATATAAACGTTTTAAATATACAAAGGACTAAGATGATTGGTCATTATATAAACAAAAAAGAAACTTGGTGGTCCAAGAGATAAGAAAAAATAGGAAGAAATACTATGAAGAAAAGATAGATTTTTGTAAAAAGGACAGTAAAAAAATGTGGCGAACCTTAAAGGAGTTAGTAAGCAAAAAAGAACAAACCAATGAAATAAGTTCGGACATAAGATTTAAAAACAAAAATATTTCAATTAAGTTGGAAAATAATTTTAATAACTTTTATGCTGAAAGTATTCATAATATGGCTTTATCTATACCAAATTCAAATGACCCTTTAGAAGCAAACATTCAATGCAATTCAGAAATAAATTGTTTTGAGCCAGTTACTCTTGGGAAATTGAAAAAACTTTTTAAGGATATCTTTCCCGCTGTAGGCCATCCTTTATTAAACTTAATTAATACATCGCTTTCAACTGGGCAATTTCCAAATGAACTAAAATGCAGCACAATTGTTCCGATACCAAAAGTAAAAAATCCAAAAAATCCGGAAGATTTTAGGCCTTACTTCCAGTTATAGAAAAGATCTTGGAACTAATAGTTCATGAACAACTTTACAACCATTTTCAAAAACATTCCTTGTTATACGTTGGACAGTCAGGTTTCAGGGTAGGTCATTCTTGCGAGATGACTTTGCAGTATGTTTTTGCTAAGTGAAAGAAGGATATTGATGAAGGAAATATTGTGTTAAGTATTTTCGTCGATCTGCAGCGTGCATTTGAAACAATAAATAGAAAAGTGTTAATTAAAAAGCTGCGGAGGTATGGTGTTGAAGGATTTGTGTAATAGGTCACATAAAACCAGGGTCAATAGTGTAGTGTCTGAAGGTGTTAAAAGTGAGCATGGGGTACCGCAGGGAAGTGTATTAGGGCCCCTGCTCTTTATCTTTTATATAAATGACATTTGTAAGTTTTTGAAAGATTGTTATATAAATTTATTTGCGGATGACACGTTATTATCCATTTCTGGAAAAAATTTCGAAGTCGTAGTCAATAAAATGAATGCAACTTTGGATATTCTATTTAACTGGCTCTGTCAAAATAAATTAAAATTAAATACAAAAAAGACCAAATGCATAGTATTGGGCTCAAAAATAAATTGTAATAAATTCCTAACAAAAAGTTTATTTTTATCTATAAATAATGAAAAGATTGACTATGTTGATGAAATAAAGTATTTAGGTGTCATTCTTGATCCTCAATTAAATTTAAGTAATCATATAAATTTTTTGTGTAAAAAGTTAGGTAAAAAAATTGGATATTTTTACAGGATTTCTCAAAATTTATCTCTCTGGACAAAAAAGTTAGTTTATAACACAATTATTTTCCCACATTTTAACTATTGTTTATCTCTATTGATCACATCAACAAAAAAAGATGTTAATAAGTTACAGTTGCTCCAAAACAAAGCAATGAGGGTAATTTTAAACTGCGACAAATACACCTCAATTTTTAATATGTTAAAATCGTTAAAGTGGCTTCCAATTGATAAAATGATAGAAATGTCAAACTTAATTTTAATTTATAAAATCGAAAAAAACTTAACTCCTACTTACTTACAGCCTTATTTAGTTAAAAGATCAAGCTTTCATACACATCAAACTAGAAACAGAGATGATTATAATGTGGAAAGATGCAATCCTAATATATGTAAAAAAATCACTATTTAAGGTTTAAAATTATACAATAATCTGCCAGTAAATTTAAAGGTAACTGCAAATTTAAAAAGGTTTAAAACAGAACTAAAGAATTATTATTTAAGTAAAATTGTTTAAGTATAAGAATTAGATTGACAGTTTATTAGATTGACAGTTTGGTAATGTTTACTGATTTAAAGTTATTTTTTTTTAATTTTATATTTTTTTATGGGTAGTCTAAGAAGTCTTTAAAAATGTCGAGCCCACATAATATTTTGGATTATTTTTTTTTTTGCCTCTTTTTTATGTGGGCTAATGGCTTATTTAGAAAATTATTTTGAATCAGTGAAAAGATTGCCTTTCTGCTTAGAGAAGTTATAAATACTGTATATATTGTATATATTTTGTATATGTTATGACTAGCATCTATTGCTAAATAAAAATTATTTTATTTTTTATTTTTTAAAAAAGAAGCGGGGAAGGTAACTTACAAGATTAGTCGTCTTGCCCAAGATTTAGAAAAACGAAAGGCGAAAATTATAGATCAGCTGCAGCCCACCAAAAAAAATATAACCCATTAAATGACTGATGCCAGTTCCTTTTATATAAATGTGATTTTATTTATTATAAGTTATAATTTATTACAGAATTTATTTATTATTTATTTATGTATTTTATAACAGTTATGGTTACTTGTTAAATTTAATTCAATAAAAATTTATAATTTCAAGTTATCTCTATGTATTTTAAATTCAAATTTCGATCTTTTATCCCAAAAAAATGTATATAGTTATTTCGGTAATTAATTTGGTCTATATTTGGTCGTTTATTTTTTATTATTAGTCTCTTAAGTCACTATTTCTCGCAACATGGACTGCTGGGAGCCCTGATAGACTGTCAAATTTTATGCGCAAAGGAATCTCTAAATGAACTAGTTATTGTAAAAAATAAAGAAGCTTCCGCTCTTATTAATGAAGTTGTAAGTGAAGCTAAAGAATTTAAAGAAAACGGTATAAAAATTTATATCTTAAAAGATGTTCAAACAATAAATGACTACCCAACTAGACAACTTATTTTAAATGAATTTCATATGCTACCT